GAGGCTGTGACCATGTTACTACGTAACAAAGACCCTTTAGTAGGAGGTGCGACGAATATGCAGCTAGAAAGTGCTCAACGTCTAACAACGTATGGTAAAGGCTATTGTAACCATGTTCTAGTCGAAGAAATGCTGGATGTCTGAGAGGACTTCTTCATTTACAATGCCTGCACATGTCCTGGTCATATTTTACCAGGTATGATCTTTTCTCAAGGCTGTTTTAACGGTAATTATTGAAAGTTCAAAGAGGAGTGACCAGAACTTTCGCGGTATCAGGCTTCTGTCAACCTGACACCGGCCTGTAGTGGCCTGCGCTTGTACTGCTTTTTTCGTACCACCGAATCTTCTACTACCCTGCCTGCTGTGAGCAGCAAACTTTTTACACTTGATGACTAAGCTTTAAAATCTCAGAACATCGGTGGATTGCTCATCTTGCACGACTACGCGTCAACTAACCAGAGACAACGTTACTGTGAAACATTTACTCCAAGCGTCGTGGAATAGAGAAAACTTTCCGGTAAACAATGCAATTTATTTTTCTCTTTTGTTATCAACCACCGAGCTGTGATGTTTAGCGGAGTAACCAACTCAATATAAACTTCCACGCACGACTTTGCTCGAGCATATTGACGACGTTACAATGGTAGTGCAATTAGAGCCGAGAGTCATTTGCTCTGCTACGACTTACTTTGTTCTGCTGTGCCAGTGCATTTCGTAGCTACTGTGTTGCAAATAGGGAGCTCAATGGCGTTTTGCTACATTTTGCTTATAAAACGGAACGGAACTGAAAATACTTGCATTTACCTAACTTGCTTTTCTAAATGCGAACGCGGAGAACGTTCTTAGAGCACTTGGTTGGGACACCAGCAATTAACCACAATCTGTTTACTTGCTAAGTTTGACGTCTGGTTAATGTAGTGCGCATACACTTGACATTGTTAACGACGCCATTTCGTCTAGAGGGAGCCTGGCTGAGTGTTGTGGAAACAAACCACAAACGTAAATGAGCTTGGGTCTGTTGCTGACTGAGAACGGACTTCCAAGACATGGTTGGTTCGCGGTGCTAAAACGGCTTAACCAAACAGGGTCAACCGAAATATATTTCGCCACTAAGTTTTCGAAACATAGCTTATCTTTATCCAACATAAACGGTGTTCATTTTCTTCCACACGCACAGAAAATGACAAGGACGAAATCGCCACCTATCTTACCGAATCCGTTGGGAATTCTACTCGCATCGACTACGGTACAGGTCACGAACTTGCCTTTATTGCCTTCGTCCTGTGCCTTTTCAAAACGAAGTTTCTGCAGGCTCCGGAACCTCGACCGACGCCGGCAAAGCAAACAGACAACCATAATGCTGTGCTCGACGACACCTCGGCCGTGGCTCTGGTTTTGATGCCCGCATACCTAAAATTAGTCCGCCGCCTGCAAACCTACTTCCGCATGGAACCCGCAGGGTCACACGGTGTGTGG